CTTTTTAAGCTGAGTATCTCAGATATAAAGTGTTCCATAATATCCATTACAGGTCCTTGGTCCAGTGGCAGCCTTATTACCATTTCTGAACTCAAGCACTGTAAAGAGTCTTATAATACAGAATGTTTGTTAAATAGCCGATAGAGAAGCTATAATCTTTTAATGTTGAATTTTATAGCTTTATCACGCTCTGTCGTTCTTGTGGATATTGTAATATTGCATTTTTACTGGTTATTCATCTGTTAATGTTCCAGTTACTAAGTTTTATACTCTCCCTTATACTCTTTTTTGTATTCCTTCACACTGTTAAACACACAGAGAAAGTTTCCTCTGGAAAGTTTATGTATCTGTGTGATATCTGACTGGACTTAATCTCTTGAGAAGCACTTTGAGAAAACTGTGGGCAATGGTCAAAGCATTTGATAAGGAAAAATGCGAAGAAACTCAAAATATCAGATGTGTTCGACGAAGTAGGCATGATAAATAAATGTATAAGTATTAAGTGAATTCTGAATGTTCACTATTGTTTTATGCCTCTATCCTTCCTGCCCCCACCACCACAAATATATGTGTGTGTGTGTGTGTGTGTGTGTGTGTGTGTGTGTGTGTGTGTGTGTGTGTGTGTGTGTGTGTGTGTGTGTGTGTGTGTGTGTGTGTGTGTGTGTGTGTGTGTGTGTGTGTGTGTGTGTGTGTGTGTGTGTGTGTGTGTGTGTGTGTGTGTGGTGTGAGAGAGAGAGAGAGAGAGAGAGAGAGAGAGAGAGGGAAAGAGACTCATTATAATTTAGTAAATGTTTACCAGTATTTCAGTGTTGTCTAAAGCCTGCACTTGAACGTATACCTTAGTTAACACAAGTTTATACAAATAAAGAAATCTCATTTTAATACATTATTATTATTATTATTATTATTATTATTATCCAGTAGTGTTTCCAAAGCATGTTGAATGTTGGCATCTTCATGACTAATATCGATTTATTGTTCTGTGTTGATATTATTTCTGCTACAAAAATTATTTTACGAAAGAATACTTTATGAATATAAGCGTTTGATAGAATGACAAAGCTATTCAACCACAGTCCAACTCAATATATTTCCTGAGTTTTCAGACAAAACGGAGTAGTTGCAATTAAATTAAATCCAGACTATTGCAAATATAGTTTTTTTATTATTATTATTATTATTTTATCGATATAGCTGAAACACTGCTCCAGCTGTTTGGTTACTAAAATTGAGGTTTTAAACACAATTTAAGCAAGTTTAACAGTTTGTTTAATTCAGCACCTGCAATGCTCTTTTTGTATTTACTTGATCAAATTCTAGTTTATTGGAGCCGGGTTGCTTCCGCTTTTTGTTGTCGCCTAAACCGTTTAGTTTTGGATGATCGGTCAAAGATTCTGACAACCAGCGGGGAGAAGCTCGACGCCCAGCCGGGGAGGGAGCGCAGGAGGCCGGACAGATCTACTGGGCTGCATCGGGGAGACGCACCATTAGACAAGGGGAGAGCCATGCCTCACAGCGCTGGTCGACCAGGTAAGGATTTCTCCGTCTGCCTCATACTAATGTCACTGTTTGTTTGCAGTATGTGTTGGAGCACTGTGTGGGACAAAACTGCGAGGAGGCTCCCTACCTATGTGTCTGGATTTTATTTTATTTTTTACTTGAAAATCAAACAAAGCATATAGTTTTCTTTTTCTTCCATATTTTTGCAGTAATTTCATCTGTTTCAACTTTTATGTCAGAAATTGCGGTAAATAATGTATATTTTGATATTATTATTATTATTAATTGTCGTTGTTGCAAATAATTGCTCGTCTATTAACATCACCTAAGCTTGGGGCTGTAATTGAAAAACATAGATCACAATCTAATTCACCTCTCAATTTTGGGTTTGGATGGGAAGATCAATGGAAAACAGTTGTAATGATCTAATTAATTATGGCAAAATTAAAAGCAAGTACAAAATCAATCTGTGATGGTGTCGAGGATAGAGTCAAATTGATATCCATCTGCTCCCGTTATAAAGCACATGAATAAGCAATCTAAGGACGCAGCTGATATCCTGCAGTTTGGCATAGCCTTCCCATATGGCTGTGGGTGTCAGGAGACACCAAATCATTGTGGGGTAAAGAGACTCCCGCGGTATTATGCGGATGTTTTGACTAAAAGGGAGAAAAGGGGTCCAGGGGAAATGTATACAGTATTACAGTAAATAAATAAGAGTGGAGAGTGAAATGAATCACATCTTGCGCTTGAGTTTATTTAGTGTTTACTTCACTGACACCTTTGCTCAATATAATAGCCTACTTACATTTGTAATGGTGTAATATTCTAAATAGTAAAGAGGCCAATTGTTTAGAATTTGTAAAAAGGCTCATATGGTAAAAAAATCGAAAACGAAACCATAAACTAACGTTCACACAGAGAGCTTGCATGGCGAAAATGTTAACAAGCTTTACACGCTCAAGAGTCAAACTTTAACATGCAGTGGGAAATATAGTGGATCCCAAAGTTGGGGAGGCTGCAGGGGACCTTAGGGGTCATATCAAAATGTTCCTATTTAAGAAAAAAACTTATTTTAATTGTTGAATGTATAGTCTATACTCTATAGTCTGCAACTTCCACAAACAGATTTGTACAATCAGTTCAAATTTAATTTTAACATGTAATCACTGTGAACGGTGATAAAAGGGTCCGTCACATGAAAATGTGAACCTCAGCATCGTCTGAAGCTTGCAGTAAAGACACATCAGGAAGATGAAAACAGCAATATCGATTGTTGCGTTACAGGCCATATGTTTCAAAAAACGGATGAGAAGGATTTATTTTGTCCTCTGAGGAAATTCATCATCCTCCCCTCCCGCCCTGTCTGCTGTCTTTCCACCTCAGTATTTTTATTTAAAAACCAAATCAACGGAATTGTTATTATTATTATTTGAAATATTATTATTATTTGTATTATTATATTTAAATGTACATTAACAATGGGGATAGTGTATTTTAGAGGAGATATCAGAATATAGGCCTACATCTGAAATTAATTAAAAACAACCCATATGTTTAGAAAGGAACGATTGTGTGATTATTCACAGTGTTAGAAAATGTATAAGAATCAACTGTTTTCATAGTGCGTGACAACTGTGCCGAGGCTCTTTATTGTATAATGCAGTCACAAAAAAATCGAAAACAATAATCGCATTAGGTCCTTGGTGGCTGAGGTTTTAAAGGGGTGAATCAGGACTAACAGTTTCTTAATTATCACGGAGTTTGTTTTGCTGTAGTGCTGTGACATGGGGACGTCATCGTAGCAGTGCAAGAAGTACGGGGGGCAAATCGGGGTGTTGTGGGGGAAATAGCAGCAGCTTTAGGGCAAAAGTGCACTGACGTGTGAAATTACAGCCCATGGTGCTACATATTGTACCAGAAGCTCCCTCCCAAAAAAAAAAAAAAAAAAAAGAGGAATCGTCCTCAAACTTGTCCAGAGGGCAGATCTGGACGCAACACAGTCCTTTTCCATAAAGACCACAACCCTTTAAATAACGTTATTATTATTTGTAATAATAATATTATTTATATTATATTAATGGTATTTTACAGATGCCTCTTTCAACAAATACATACATTATAATTAATACAATAAGATTGCTGTGTTATACGTTGTAAACCACGAGTTGGGTTACACTGTAACACTATCCTGATATAATTATGCATAATGTATACAAATATTTTTTAAATTATATTTTTGCTTGAAAAACTGTAGCTACTTTAAACAGCAGTAATGTATTGACAGAATAAAACATAGAGGCTGTAAAAAATAATCACTTTTAAGCTATAATGATTGTGTGTTTTTTTTTCTTTGTTTCCCCTCGGATTGAGTCCTACCGGAAGATATTACGAGTGCATAATACAGCTACAGTAGGTTTCCCCCCCCCCTTTGACCCGGCCGGCCCGGCAGCATCAACCTACCTGCCTCTGTCTGAGAAGCACAGCGGGCTGTAACCTACTGTATGAGCGCCATCTACAGAGCAATGCTGCACACAGGCGCGGAGTGGATGATGATGGTGATGATGATGGTGGTGATGATGATGATGGCCTTCTGACTGACTCTCCCTCTGCAGGCTGCGAGCTCACCTTGCACACATCCTGTGGGCTATGACCACACACGGATCAAAACAGTCAGGATAAAAAGTAGCAGCTCTTGTTTTTGCATTATTGACTCATGTAAATACTTTTTTGGTTAAAGAATGTTTTCTGAATTATTTAGGAATAGGAATATAGGAAGATGAAGCAGTAAAAGAAAAATTGCTGTAAAAACACACATTTTCAAAATAAAGATGTTATAGCAAAAATGGTGTCACAATGGGGACAAAAATAATAACTAGTCTAGTTGTGATATTTGAGAGTTAACACTTTGAACCAGAGGCTCACAACCTGGGTAACTGGGCCTATTGTTGTGTTTATAAGATGAATAAATTGTTAAATGTATTTTTATTTAAAATTATAAGAATAGTAAGATACATTATAATTATGATTTTGTTTTCATATATCTTGTTTTAGGTTATTTAAAATCACTTTTGAAAATTGTGCAAACATCAAAAATATTCACACATGAGTCCCAGTCTCATCAAGGGTTTCTATTGGGAGTCTTTCATATGAAAACATTTTAGATACGTCTCTTTAAACAACACACAGCAGCCTGACAATACTTTTACCTCTCTTCAACCCCCTGCCTTAATTTCCTTGATTCTTCACCCCAAAGTCTCATCATTTCCCATTTCGTCTCCCTCCCCTTCCTGGCTGTCGGATGCAGGGACCTCCTCATTTGAGCTGCAGGTTTTTACGTGGGCGAATCACAAAGTGTTGGAATCTATTGCCTTTGTCTGACAAGTCATCCATCTCTATGCGAGGGGATCTGTGGGATGGAGGTAGGAGAGGGGGGGGGGGGATCTGTGGGACTGCAGCTTTTAGAAACAGACACACAAGGAGAGGGGTTTCATTCTCAGCCCAAAGCTTCGCTCAGGCACAGCCCATTCCGGAGGAGAGGGGGACGCACTGCTCTGTACTTCGCCGTGTCCATGTTGTTGTCATCTCCGCCCCTATCTGATTAAAGCACACAGCCCGCCGTCAGAGGAGAGGGATTTCTCGGCCACAGATTCGCAAGTGGACCCGTGGAGACTCAGTTATTCGCCTTTTTGTTTTTGCTCATGATGTCCTTAAAAGACAACAAGTGACACGGTTTGAGTCAATGTTGCTGCGACTGGTGCGCTCTGCACACGCCTGGGTCATGCTCTGCACCTGACAGCCCTTCAGAGACACTTTTGAGTTTAGACTTGAACAGGAGGAAAACTTAGCATCGCCCGGAGAAGTTGTCCACTGCTGCGGACTCTTCGCACACGGACTGTTGTTCGCTGCTCCGAATTGTAAATCTTTGTTTTTTCCAGCTTTAAGCTGCACCACAGAGGCGAAACGGCGACCTCAGTCGATTACCTTTCCTTCCTTTGCTATCCAATGGATATTCACTGCAAAGCAGACCCCTTCTCGGCGATGCACTGTGAGTATATGAAGCCCAGTTTACACACGCTTGTGTTGTGACCATATTTTTGAATTAGCAGTCTAAGTACCGCAGTTTAGGCTATGTTATGTTCTTTATTTTAGATGTTTAATATTTTAAGTCCATTAAGGCTTGTTATTTGCCATCGTTTTATTATTGTCTTAAACATGTTTGTATCTTTAGTTATTTTACCAAAAGAATATTGGCAAGGATTTGCAAGAGTCACTTGAAAAAATATATTTTGTTGGGTTAATTTAGGTGTGAATGAAAAGGAAAATAATAAGCAGAGAAAAACCAAATATATGGCTGCTAAAATGTTTTTAATATAAGGATATTTCTGGCTTATAGGAGCACGTGTCACTGGAGTTTTGTTTTAATTATTTTTGCTACAGCTTTATTGAGTCAGAGTTTAATCAAATTGAGAATATTTGAGCTGTTTTTAGCTACATTTTCTTTGAAGTTATAACTTCCCAATTTAAATACAAAGCTTTTATTGCCTGTGAAATCGCAGATGCTTCAGACAAGGGCACGCTGTGTGTAAATGGAGTAACACTTTATTTATCTCCCACTTTAAAGTTAGATGTTTAGTAATAAAATTGACGCAGTTCATCCAACTGTTAATTTTCTTCATGTTTTCTTCTCCATACGATATGGGTAAAGAAGACCCGGGCTGCGTGTACATTATTTATTCCTCCTCATTCGCACCATCCGCGTTTGTAATATGAGTTATCAAAGCTCATTTTAATTATTTACAATAATTGTGCGAGGAAAATTAAACAGGTTGAAACATAATATCTGCGACATGTGTTAGGCTGCAGTGGAGGAGGTGCTCTTGGAAAATATTGCCTATTGCCAATGCACAGAGAGAAAGGAGTTTTATTTTTATTTCTGTGGTATCCAAAGAGCCATTGCGGTGTGCTTTTATTTTTCTATATATTTCATGTTGGTTGCTTGTTTTTTTAATATGTTCTATATTTAAAAGAGACACTAAAATAATCTTATTGAATTTTACTCTGCTGCTATATCTATCATTATTAAAATGACGTTAGCCTAATATTATTACGACTATTATACTTTGTAATAGTGTTTTTATTATTTAAAATCCTACCATTGTTTATTTAAATGTTTATAAATATATATTTTTATTTCAGAGATAATGCAGCAATAAATATTGGTCAAAATTAAAATGTGCATGTGTGCAATTACTCTTTGCATGTGCATGTACCTGTGGATTATTCATGTGATTTAAACATTTAAACCAAAACACCCACAAAATAGAAATGAACTTCCATGTTCTCCACCTCACGTGAAGAGAGCGCGTGTCTCCTGCAGGTGTGTAATGTTATGCTCTCCTGTGCTGCTGTTGTGTCCCACGCAGGGCACGGCGGTGTGAACCAGCTCGGCGGGGTGTTTGTGAACGGCAGGCCCCTCCCGGACGTCGTGAGGCAGCGGATCGTGGAGCTGGCCCACCAGGGGGTCCGGCCCTGCGACATCTCCAGACAGCTACGGGTCAGTCACGGCTGTGTCAGCAAAATCCTCGGCAGGTAAAAGGGGGGGACTACCAACAGTGTGTCAAACATCAATCTTCTATAGCCCGTATATATGCGCACCCAGCTCTATTTCAGCCTCAGCCATCGGTTATAGGCAGGTCATTTTTTTCCCCTTTCTCTATTTTTGCTTGAACACAGCAGTTCTGCGTCCGAGATTTTATATCCATCACATGCAGCCCTGCAAGAGAAAAGCATCATAATCATGAAACAATTTAGGAGCAGAGTTTCGAGCTAAGCATATATATACGGACAACAAATATCACAGAGGAATATGAGGCTGTATTAATATTAACAGTGACCACAGGTGATAAAGAAAGCTTATAAAGTAACACGAGGTCACTTTAAAACTGTATTTTCAAGTCTACACACACGAATGGGAACATGTCTAGCAGATTAGGAAAATAAAGCAGTCTACGTCAACTATAAACACACCTTTGAGTATCATAATCCTTTACAGAAAGCCCATAATACACACGTTATGTTCATATATTTTTCCATCAGTGTAAACGCTGCTTACATCCTGATACATTAGGTCTACATCATTATACATCAGAGCACAAATGCTGTGAGATAATATTTTTGAAATATTTTTTTCAGCTATCAGAAGGCATTTCAGAGGTATTTCATTTCACACACACTGAATGTTTGTCACCAACATTTACCAATAGGTCATGGTGGCATGTCGTGCATGCTACTGTAAACTCATGGAGATTGGAAATTAGGTCTAAACTGTGCTTTTACAGCTAAACTGTCTTTTGTTCTGTCCGTCTCACTGCTTATATTGTGTGATTTTAATTACACTGCTTTTCGTTGAAAAATCCGCTCTGTTCACCTTCCAGCTGACACTCAATTAGGCCCATAAAACAGCACACTTCCACACCAATACATTTAAGCCGCCATCATATTTTTAGGTTTTTTTTCACACTGTGTACTAAGGTCGGCGGGGATTTGTTTACACACAACATATATTTAAGCCACCTTTTCCATGCAGACAGACTCCATTCAGAACCATTCACTCTGTCCCCATGCAGGTACTATGAAACCGGCAGTATTAAACCCGGAGTCATTGGAGGCTCCAAACCAAAGGTTGCAACTCCGAAAGTGGTGGATAAAATAGCTGACTATAAGCGCCAGAACCCAACCATGTTCGCTTGGGAGATAAGGGACCGACTACTGGCTGAGGCCGTCTGCGACAACGATACCGTCCCCAGCGTTTCATCCATCAACAGGTAGGCGAAATAGCCGTTTTACATTTTATGTTGTCTTGAAAAGCATGCCGGATTGTTGCAAAGTGAATTTTTATTTATTTCTATACGTGTTCACGCATGTAAGAGAAGATGTTTGAGTGGGAACAATAGAACAGAAGAGGAAACAAAACGCAAAACCCCCTTGCGTAAACTGGAAAAGTCCGTTTTGAAATAAGCACATAGCTATTTTATCTATAGTCCCAGCCGAGCCTAACCGGGGTGGTCTCACAAGTGCAATTCAATCTCCTTTGCGGCCCTCCACAACACCGCCAGCACGGGAGCTGAGGCTGGGGCCACGAAGAATCACATCTGTCTCGATGAAAACCGATCAATACCGCGTAACCAGATCCAAAGGCGGAGGGAAATACCCAACAACGTCGTTCAATACGCGGACCACACTGCGACAGAAGCGGCAGCAGCCTTTTTATTACCAACCAATTGCTCTGTTTTCCAACACCGAGGTGAATGTGGAGCGACAACAGACCACGCATTTAGACTCATATAGTGTAGTTGTACAACTCTAAATTATTACTTTTTTTAATTACACATTATAGTATTATTATAATAATTATAAGTACTAATAATTAATAATAATAAAAAAAACAATAATAATACGTATTTTTGCACTTAACCTATATTTTTCATAATGCAGTCTAAGATAATTGTAATTACAGCATCATTCAAATGAATTCAGAATGTGACAGACCATATAAAAATCCCCCTCAAACAGTGTTGATCTATGGGTAAATGGACTATAAAAGAGTTTCTGTTCCACTGAAGCAGCTAAAGCAGCAGACACCCTACACCTTCACCTTTCCACATGAATCGGGACAGCAGTGGACAGAGTATCTTTAGACAGAGGACGCCGGTGAAAAGCCCTAGTGCATGTGTGCAAAGTGAAAAAAGCCCCATAGTGCCTGCGAGTGATGAACTTTGGTTAGGAGGCACTGTTCCAGAGAGCTGGTCATCGGCATTACATTTTAATGAGCTGAAGAGAGTCTCATAACACATCCAGCTAAATGCAGGAGATAGATGAATCTTAACAGAAGAAGAGAAAGGAATATTATAAAATCAGGCTGTGATGGAAATGATGGTTTCAACAGGTCCTTTTCGCGCTGTTCACTTGTTGTTCCTAAAAGCAGAGGAAAATGTATTTAACTGTGTGTGGAGGCAATGTTTTATGTGTTACTATTAAAAAAACATTTCTGACCATCTGCTTGGTTTTAAACTGTGTGGAACAGCACTATTACAGGAATGTTGTGCTCTGAAACTAAGTTGGCCTACGCATTAATCATTAACATCAGAGCTGGTGGCAATGCATAAAACAAACTGCATTTGTTATTCTTAAAGCATGTACTTACAAATCCTAACCTACTAAGTTTCATTCTTAAATGTCATCCCCTAAAACGTATATTAGCATTTAAGAATGGTTATTGGTATCATTATATATATCATAATACATGTAGAGAATGCGGCAGATTATTTTGGAATGTATATTAAAGAATCACACCTATCATTTATTATATAACTATAATTTCCAGGCTATTTTAAATGTCTACGGTTATTTCTTGTTCTCACTGTTGGTCTTAAATAAAGGGAGGATTGGGAAAGTAGTGAGGAAGAGGAATAAAGAGGCAGTCAGTGAGAGAGAAAGACACAGTGGACCTCTGGTGGTCTCTGTGGTTAAGAAGCTGACCTCTGGTCTGTTGACTAAAGAGGATGTCCTGGCTTTAAACACATTTTTCCTGCATGAATTATTAAAGATTACACAGAGACTGGGTTGCACTTTGTGTTGTCGCTGCAGAGAGGAGTTTCCACCCACTGCAACATGCCCAGAGGACAGAGGCGAACCCATAAGGTCCTAAGCGGCTTTCAATCATATTGATCCACATTTTAATCTTTCTTTGGGGACTTTTTTTTTTACAACACCCAAAAACCAAAGTCGTTAATTCACCCATCTAAATTGCTTATTCAATATCAACAACATAGACTTGAAACAAAGTCCTTGAATTTATGAGGCTCCCTCGAGTCATGAGGTCAGATAACTGTTGTGGTGAGATGTTAGAAATTCAAATAAAATATTGATATGTGTTTTCTGGAGGAGGCTGCTAGCCTTTGTTGCCCTGCCTGAAGGAGAGAGTATGGAGGACACATGAGATAGTGAGGGGAATGAAAAAAAAGAGTCTGATGTACATTATTTGCCCCCGAGGAAGTTAACCTCGTAGCTGCCTGATTCAGAATTGATAGCTCATTGCTGGATGCTGCTGCATGCACATGTGAAAGTCATTCGCCTCATCTGCAGTCTGTAAAAGTCTGTTTTTGTCACACCTCCCGAGTGAGAGGGCTTCCATGTGGGATATCTGTCTCTGCACAACGCTGCCTGTTATTCAATGATCTCACGCACGTCTGTCAATCAAAAGATTACCATAGTCATGGTTTAATGTAATGCGATCATGTCCCATAAGAGCGATCGCTGAGCTTGTGTAAATCCCACTGTACCTTTACAACAATCTTCATTTTAACACATGTAGCATTATGTCGTATTTTAAGTTTTCAGTTTATTGTGATGCTTTCTTTTATTTTGTACTTATTTAATTCAAAGAGCACCCCGGATTAAAATGCAGCGGATGTGGCAGTGCTCTCAGGTTGGGCCAATGAGACACTATTGCTTTTCTGTCACATATCATTTATAGATCACCATTTGCATTTGCTGTTCCTCCCTGCCATTCGCCGTCAACTTTTCTATCCCGGTGTCCCAATCAATAGGCTCTGATCCTCAGTGAACCCGGTGGATTCCTGTGTGCTACACTGAGCAACAAAAATACCAAAAACTACAGCAGACGCCCGAGAGGTGACCGAGAATAAAGAGAGAAATAAAGACATGATTTGGAGAAGAGTTGAGATAGAAAGAAGGAAAGAAAGAGATAAGGGTTTTGAAAGAGAGTTATTGTAAAGTACAGTAAAACGTAGAGCACATTGGACAGTGAGGCCGAAATGAGAAAAGGGGATGAGGTGGTAAGAGAGAGGAGTTAAAGATCAGGTTTGAGAGATGGAGAGAGTACAGAGAGAGTGAGGGGAAAAGAGGGAGTGGGGAGCAGGAGAGGGAGATTATTAGACTTGGGCCAGGTAGAGCCAGTGAAGCTGATCATTGAGGTGAATTGATGTGATTTCATGCTTTGTTTGCAAGATCATTCAGACCAAAGTGCAATGAAGACTTTCCCGCCACATCACATCTTACTGGTATGGGGACTTTATCATATTTCTAACCTCAGAATCCAGCTAGATTGAATCCACAATCTCAGGGGGCAGCCCCCATTCAGCCTCACACAGGAGTAGAGAGATTGCCCCTAAAGCCCCGAGATTGGCTATTTGTGACAGAGGCCTGAATATGAGGATACGAGCGCCCCAAACGATGGAGCGCTTGTACATGCACGGGTGGAAGTGGAAGTGATGTGCCGTGTTTAAGTGTCCCGAGGCGGCCGGGCTGGTGTGAAATCTCCATGCTCTGGAAGCAGTATTGATTGATCCGTGTCTGTTGTTCACTTTACCAGGATTATCCGCACCAAAGTCCAGCAGCAATTCCACCCGTCCCCCGACGGATCCGTGACGCCGCTCTCCACGCCCGGCCACACCATAGGTAAGTGTGAGGGAGGCTACACACAGATTACCGCACAGTCAGATGAGCCGTGGAAACACCTAAATATAAACACAAACATGCATTTTGAAGTATATATACACTTGAACACACACATACTGTACACACACACTAACTCAGCTCTCTCCCATCAGTGCCCAGCACAGCTTCTCCCCCTGTGTCCAGCGCCTCCAACGATCCAGTAGGTTCCTACTCCATCAACGGCATTCTGGGTATCCCTCGCTCCAACGGCGAGAAGAGGAAACGAGATGAAGGTAAGGAAGACACAAGATCCCTTTGTTTTCCATCCTTCTAATTCTGTCCATCACTAGTCTCCTACTTTTTTTTTCCTGTGTGTGAAGAAGATGGCATTTATGACAGCGCTGCAGCCAAGTGTGTGTCTGTGTGCTGTCTCCAGTGACTTGTTATGTTGTATATCAGGCAGGGCGAGTGTTGAGAGAGTGTTGCGATTCAATCAGCTTTTTGATGCCCTGCGTTTTACCATACGCCTACAGAGCTGCATCTCAATTTTATACCATGCTCAGACGTACTGTAGATATATCCCATATAGCTGTCATGCAACTCTAATCCCCCTTGGCAAGGCATCAGAGCTACTGCTGCTCTATAACGTAATAAAACACAGAAAGAGAAGCTCTGTTGTGTATCTGCGCCTAGATACTATCAGTTAAATACTTTACATGTAATAATCATGCACTGGATACTTAGATATATATTATTTTACTGAAGATAATCTAAAAAAGCATTAAAATGTTCTATAATAAAGTTTTTTTTAAGACTACCAGGGCAAGAAATGAGACTTAGATATGCTCAAAGATTACGTAAGTGGGAAGCCTATCCGGCCCAAGCCAGAATTTCCCATTCCTAGGCGAGGCAAGAGAGTGGACACACACTGCCTGAGGGCTATTAGATTATCGGTTTCGCAAACAATTGGCTTTTTTAATGCCTATGAATTAACATGTCCCCGGTGGAGGCCTGAACAGGTGTAGGAACAGACCGGTGGAGGCAGGGAGGGGGCTGCATGTGTGTGTGAACATGTGTGTGTATATGTGTGATGATGTTGTACTGTTTAGAAGTGGCTGATGGGATGAAATGGTTTAAAATGATTCCAAAGAGCACTCATCAAAACAGGCCACTTCCTTCTTTTATGTTTCTCTCTTTAGTTCACTGGAGTGGCAACCACATGGATGGAAGGAAAATAGGACATTGTAAGTTGAAGTTAGACTACCTTTTCTTTTGCTTTGGTCAATCAGACCACAACTCTGTCCTCTCAATTACTGTTTCTGCTCTTCCGGGGGTTATGAGTTTATGGGGACAAGGCGGGGAAACATTTCCCAATAAATAATCTGCAAGGAAATAAAAATGAATTTAGCTGAAGTGACAGTGGAAAATCAGGTTTTACATGTAATGGCATGCAGTTCAATATACAGTAAAGCACAGCTTATTTTGATTTTGATTCTACACATAATGATTCCGTTTTTTGTTAACATATTTATTCTTAAATAATTCTAAAATGTAATTTGGCCTGCAGCCCTTGTCATTATTCATTATTGATTAATTTGAACGGCTCACAATTAAAATGTTTTTTATTTTTTAACAAAAGGCAGACCATTTACCTGAGCTAGCTAATACAATTTCAAACACAAAAAGTTAGCTAGTCAGACAATTCACAAAATATGTACATGCGTAAACAGATAAGTAGTAAGTAATAACTTTTTTTTTTTAAAGGGGAGATATAGTGCAGAAAATATGTTTGATGTTGTTTAGAATATTGTACAAATGACTCTGTTGCATGTCTGTAAACAAATCAAATATGTTATGCTTGAAATCGTCAAATGCTTGTTCCTACATTTTGATCATTTGACCATGATGAACATGAAAAAAAAAGCTATGTACAGTTCTTGTACCACCGGTGCTGTGATGATGGTGGTGTCGTGTGATCCATGTGTGGCTGAAGTCAGCAGTTGCCCTTTGAAGAGGAAAAAGGTCCCCATTACTGGAGGGCTGTAGAGATAATGTAGTGTGACACGCGTTATGTACACGGGATCCCAGTAAGACGAGCTTCAGGGACGTAGGTGCCATAAGAGCCATTAATCTGTCCTTGTCATGTGCTATTGCAAATTAAAAGTAGCATGTTACACTGGACGGCTTCAAGTGAAGATGGGGGGAGGTACAAAAAAAGAGAAGGTAGAGCAGCTGAATGAGAAAGTGGTTTAATGAGGGGAGGAGGGCGGAAGGAGGCCCTGGCAGCCTGAAGAGAGTCCAGCATTGTTTGTAAAGATCTGCTCATGCTTAGGTAGACACCTATCCATGGAAATGTGAACGAAGTGTGTCTGTTTGTATCTCTGTGGCTTCAGATGCTCCTCACACAGTGACATTTAAAATAATTTGCAATTCTGCGGAGGGAAGCTATTAATTCACAAATTAACATCTCACCCCCCCTCCCTTCCTCTATCTTGGATGTGCAAGCGATCGAAAAGACAAAAGAAATAGCCTTAAGGGGGGAAAAGAGAGTCTCAGCCCTATCTGAGGAGAGATTGGTTTGCATGTCTGCAAGCAGCGATACCAATTATGCCAGTGCTGGGAGAATGCGTCTCAATGTGCCCCCTCCCCCCCACCCCCACCACCACCCCAACCCGAATCTATCCATAGCCAGATTTATTTGTGTATCTCATTACAGGAAATGGAATGTTGTTCCTGCCAAATGCATTAATAGTGAAGTGGGGAAATTAGCCTGTTGTACAGCATGCTCTCACTCAGTCATTTAAACCTATGGTGGAAGTGGAAGCCAAGAAAAGACAGAGGATTGGGTGACAACTGCTGTGGGATTGTCAAATGTGCATTACAGCGCTAGAAGTCCATGCACTCATTAAAAAAAGTTTGGGCCTTCCAGTTGTTGGTCCAAATTATTATGTAAAACATACCTGCTCTAGTTTGTTCTAGTTTGAAAAGGGAAATCTGTAGAGGTGTTGCTTTATGTAAATGCAGTGTTTTCCTAGTCTTAGCACACAGTGACAGGTTAGCCCTGCTGTTCAGGCAGGTTGATGTGACCTAGCTGTATGTATGTCTCATCGCTGGATGGAGCCCAGTGGAGCTCTGGGGAGGACAGGCAGTCGGGAGCTACAGTGATAAATTAGATGGAGAAAGCAAAGGTCATAACTTGTGATTGTAGCGTGGGTGTAGGATGAGTAGGAGAAGGAGTTGATGATTGTGTGAGCGGGGAGAGAAAAATATGGCCTGGCAGGTTGTTCATTCATGACATAAAAGAAAGATCGCACCAGGAAGCCAGAGTCATATCCACCATGTTCAAAAGCCTAAGGAAAAATGAATAGAGTCACTGGTTTGATTTGTTCAAATTTGATACTTGGCCCTTTTTGGAGATCGTCCGGTGTGTATCTTTTAACACATGACCCATTTGTGGAGTTTGAATCAGTTAGTGTATGGATTTGAACCTGGGCCTACACTGGTTGGCTAGTCAAGCCAGTCCATGACAATGAGTCAATAGAGGATCACTTTAGAAAATAAATGCATCCAGAGCGAGACAGAAATAAATGGAATCATGAGCACCATGATGGCCCTGATGGGGTGTGTGTGAGAGAGAAAAGCCCAGGTTTGAGAGGGGCCACAGAGCGTAACATAGAGACAAGAAGCTGTTAGGCCCCCGACAGTAGGGGAAGACACAAAAGGGTCCACATTGCATTTCACCCCCTCCTCCTTCACTTCTCTATCTCTGTCGTTCTTTCTCTTCAACATTTCATTTCTCCTCTTATCGACCCCTTCTTCTTTTTGAGTCTTGCAGGTTAACCATTTGCATTCAGCAACATGGCTGCGTGAGACCCCACGTTTAGTTGTAAACAATATACAATGAGGGCCGTCACAAAAAATATTAGGAGAGGGAATTCACTCAATGAAGAGGAATCATGTCAGAGAAAAGTCAATTACGGGCAGCGATGCCGGGAATTAATGGAGCGATGCATTACTCAGCTTGAGGAGGGAGAAAAAGGCAAGAGAAAAGAGGGGATACGTTAATTGCATTTCCACAAATACTCGCCACACAGGCAGGCGACGCTAAACGACAGAGTGGTCCAGAGGAGGACAAAGAAAAACAAGAGATGGGAAGGGAGTCTTGCTAAAATGGGAGACTGCAAAAATATATTTCCTACGAGGTTATTTTTCCACAAATTAGTAGGGGGGAAGATTATTTAAACATATTTACAAAGAAAACCAAAGTGTTTTAAGATTTCTATAAATAAAGTTTCCTGTTGTGCAGCAACATGTTTTATAATTTATTGTTTAAAGACATATTAAAATATACAATTTGCAATAGTGTACCTAAGTAATATAAGTAGCCAGGAATCATATTGCCAACCTTACAATTTAACACCAACTCTGATCTACTGCCACTCTCTTATTAATGTTATAAACTCAAACTGCTTTCAAATAGTGGTGTACTTTTTATTTATTATAAAGTTCTGCTGTGGCCTAGATCTAAGAGTTTATATGAAGGTAAATAAAATAACTAGAGTGCTTGAAAATACTATCAACACAGCCTCAGTGCTGGCAGTCAGTGCAAATATCAAATAAGCATCACTATGCCTGCTGACAGTCAGTACACTGGTTGGTGGTGCTAAATCGAATTAATAAAGCTCTTAAACACGCCACAACATAACAGGATCTTAACAGCCAGCTACTTCTCCCCCTCTCTCTCCCGCCCCACCCACCTCTCTCCTTTCCGCTTCAGAGGTTTCATAAATATCGCTAGCTTACAGGGAAGGAGTGTTCACCCTCTGGGTATACCAGTTTGTTTGTGCTCTCTTCTATTTTTTTCAAGCATAACTGCATTTTCAAAAACATCAACAAATGATCCACAATTTGCGATAGCATCATTTCACCTATCAGAGAGGACTCCCAGCGTCTGATCTAGGAAACCCAGTGTCATTGATTTACGGAGAGACACAGGCGGTGTGTAGGAATTCATTTGCCTTTCAAACAAGCCCCCACCTCTACTCTCACTGAGTTATCTTATCAGAGGGACAAGGGAGATGAAAGAAGGACATAAAGTGCCACCATGCCACCACAGGACGTTAACATCCCCCTTAGAGACAAAGAAAAACAGAACAGCTTTTGATAACATTGTGGTTTGTCTCACAGTCTCTATCGCCGTTGGTTAACGCTGGACGTGTGTGATCAAATGGCTGAAAGAGCATTTAGTGAGAGTGATTATAAGTTTATATTGTTAAACAATGAAAGTCACCCTTTCATGTCCATTGACTGAGTTTGCCTTTTTGTCTGGTGGTAGTCTACTTTAATTTTTTATACTTTTTTAATTAATGTAAAGCTTTTGGATAAAACATCCTTCTGTTCAAGCTGATCAAAGAAAGTTTTCACTGGAAAGTGCTTTTCTTTAGGGTTGATTTGTGAATGTCACCACTTAAGAGTCTTGTTTTATCTTGGGTTTTTTAACACTTTGGTGTTAAAACCAAGAGATGCAATCAGCTGGTGCTCTGGGAATGATAAGAGAATACCTGCTGAGACACCCAAAGGGGTTGAAGAAACACGGAGAAAATGAAGCCAGTCAATGAGAACACACACACACACACACACACACACACACACACACACACACACACACACACACACACACACACACACACACACACACACACACACACTCACACACACTCACACCAACTGACAGTTGGGCTTCACACTCCACTTGACACACTGACTGTCAAAGGATGAATCTGATTTATTGCTGATATTTTATGATATATGTCAAACATGAACCTCTAATGGCGAGTTCTGAAAATAAATGATTTAGCATTATTTCCATTTTAAGGCCAAAAGCAGTAATTATTTCACCATATAAATGTAAAATGTCAGTTAGGGCTGAAAAGAATGTGGCATAAATGAACATGATTAACAACAAGGCCTTTTTAAGTCCAATGTTGTACTATAGTACAGGTGTAAACAAACCTTTAAAAACACCACAAGGATTTAGTTCATGTTTATTGTGTTATAATGCCCATCCATTTTTATTTAGGAAGTAAGGTTTTTTTTACATTTAGATCACGTGAAGGGCACCAAAACGTGTCCTATGATTGGAAGGCATGTCTTTTGAAGCCAGTACAGAAGGCCTGATTAAGCGATTGAGGGGGTGCTGAGTATAAGCATGCTCCTCCATAGTGAATGACAAACCCTCGCTATTGATCTGCGCTTGGCTCTTTTCTCAGACCAGCTGATACGTGGTAATTAATGACTCCATTTTCTTCTGTACCACTAACAAAAAATTCGTTTTATACAGCAACACTAATGGTGAAACCCTAACCCTACACCCAAGGGAACTGTTTGAAAAAGGGAAAAAAAGCCTGTGTTAAAAAAAAATTGGTTAACTGATGGAAGGAAAAACCCATGTGGCAGGAGAAAAACTGATTCCTTCATAAATGTTACACAAAGCTAAAGTCAATATATTTTAAAAGAGAAACACACATATACACACACCCTTCCATCTACACATACACACACACTCTTACCCAATTGCAGTCCTCCATTCCATTCTCCCCATGGATCTATTTCTTGGTGCGAGTCGGGTTCATCCTATGGCCTCAGCCATTGAAAAAAGGTCAAGCAACCGAGCAGAATGGCAATAACGCCCCTGAAATGGTACCATCAGTGGAACATGATTGATCAATTGAATTCCATAGCACAGAAAAATGTGGGATTAAGTAGAGTATTATACGCACAATGAGTTGAGGCATGATGTTCATTCCAAGTTCATTTCGCCTCCCTCCTCTGCTGGCGGATCAGGCAATCAATAGCGGCCTTGCATATCATATATCACCGCTGGCTCGCCCAGGAGAGAACATAATCTGCTGCAAATTTAGAATGACAGATTTGTATGGGAGCTAAAGCCCTCATCCACTGTTGGCGGCGGGATATAGCGAGGAAGGGAGGGTGGCGGGAGGCAGGCAGTGGAGTGGAGGTTCCTGGGATGCTGGCTGGAGGTTTTAGCAGCAGGTATTTTTTCCTTTCAGTGTTCGGGACTTGATGAGTGAGCAGAGGGAGAGCTTGCAGCGGCGGCGCTGGGCTCCCTGGTCGAGTTGATAGGGTCAGAGATCAGGAGAACGAGGGACGCATAGACTCATTTGTTTATATAGAGTGTGACTGAGTGAGGAAATGCATACGCTTGCCCTCGTCGCCCCGTCCTTATTCGGCCCTGAGTACCGTCCCTACTCCATTCTGTTTTCCAGAAGACAGGCAATATATTGGGGATGGAGGGAGAGAAAAGAGAGACAGAGAGAGGGAAGGGTAATATGTTCAGGAGGAAATAGTACAGTTAAATAATGGCCCTCCATTTCCCGCTCGCAGAATGAGAGGCTCTGTATGTAATCGCCAGCCCTACTTTCTCCTCCTGAAATACACGCTCTCCCTTACAAGTATGTATTTGCACTGAAGGTAATCCATCAATTACCATAGACCTATCACATGATGACCGTGCTGATGGTGGCCACGAGGAGAGGTGGGGGGGGGGCAGGGAGCTGCTTGAGTGAGTGTGTGAGAGGGAGAGAGAGAGACGGTGAAAAACAGAGAGGGGGATAAAAAGGCAGACATGCTGGTGGATCTCCCTAAATTTACTGCTGCTCCTCATGCCATCACTCTCACACCCGTTGAGCTAGATAAAAAGTAAAAAATCTGCCTATGCTTATCTCACATGGCACGCCTGCTAGAATATCAGGTTAAAACAAAGTTGGAGCTTTTCCCTGATGCTAAGTGTTGTTGCTCTTCCTTCCCTTCTTCCCTTCTCTCTCTCCCTCCATCTCTAGATGGCTCTGATGGCTCAGGCCCCGGCAGCGACTCTCAGGGCAGCGTGGAGAGTTTAAGGAAGCACCTGCGGGCGGACGCCTTCACCCAGCAGCAGCTGGAGGCCCTGGACCGTGTGTTCGAACGTCCTTCTTACCCTGATGTCTTCCCCACCCCAGAACACATCAAACCTGAACAGGTTGGCCAAACTAATTTCTTGCTCAAAGCAACCTACAAGCTACCGCCTATCAAAGCATATAACCTTTATTTACATTCATAAAACTTAAACAACATGAGACTATTAATTTTCCATTGGAACTCTATGTGGGTGCCCATGCAGCCTTAGCAGTGCCCTAATTGAGTTCATTTTCATCTCTGCGCGATCGCAGGGAATTACAGCGGCGATAAATCAGGGGGACAGCCCCTCAGCCTGCTATACAGCACCTAATGCAGCTAATTACCAAAGTGATTTCTACGGCAAGATCAATACCAAAACGAATTGGAAATGACTTGCAATCACAAAGAGTGGAGGAGAAGGTATTAAAAAAGCGAGAGGAAGGTGGAGGAGGGGGAGAAAAACGGCGTCAGAATGGTCCAGAAAAATCAGTTTTAATTTAATGTAATATTAATCAGGCCGCTTTCCACTCGTTCTGTGCACCTCCTTTTTTCTCCATGCTTCCAACACCCCCTCCTTTTCTTAAACTGGTGAAAAGGTGGGATATTAGGCTATTAGGGGCTTGTCTGGTGTCTGCGTCAGGGCATTAAAAAGCCATTTTGAAGAGGCCAGGCTGAATAGGCCTCATCCCTCCCACACTTCTGGCAGCCATGTGGTCAGGTCATTCAGGACCCTCTGTGCTTGCCACTCGCCCTCCGCCCAGCCCGGCCCTGCCCACAGGCCATCTGCATAACAAAATGGCTCTTGTGCTGCTGAGGCCCAGCGGAATAGAGAGGAACATCCAGCCTAGTGCCAGGGAACAGTTGTAAGCAGACAATTAGAGTTTATCTGAGATAGAGGCAGACAAGGCTGGGGTCACCAGCTCGCCCCTGAGGGACCCCTTCCCATTGAGACAAACAGATGCACACACGCACTCTGACACAACACTCACAGACACAAATGTGTGCACACACACTTATCCTTTTAAAGAAGAAAAGTCCGGTCAGGAAGTGTCATCTCATTAACAAACAGGATTTATCACAGCTGCTAGCTGAGTCTTAACCTGAGATTAAAGTGATAAATACTTAGGGAGTTGATTCTAACATGAACTTTTCTCCTGCAGTACAGCAGAGTATTGCATTTTGTTTTTCGATTGAATTATTGAAAAACATGAAAGTCGGCTGCAGCTGCACGGTATGTTTGATCACAGATGAAAAGATGTGCAATAAAAAAACTCCAATATAAAGTAAAATGTACTAATAAAAGTATGAGAGGGGAAAAACAATACACACTATTTTATCATTTCATCAACCCAGTTTTATGTGTTCATCCTATAGGCGAAACACAAAGGTTGATTTTGAGGTTGTTCGCCCCTTTAAAAAACACACCACATGTCTCTCCTGTAACAAAGCCCTGAATGTCTCCTCCCTTGACTGGTCACAGGGATGACTGCAGTGGAGCACAAAGAGCCAGCTGACACCCCGTCCTTTCACTCCTCTCCCAATCCCTCTCTCATCCCTCTCTCCCCTTTCTGCCTTTTCCTCAGACAAGCCCTAATGCATGCATACATCATAGGTCTTGGTAAAGCATGGGGAGCAGGGTCAGGACGGGTTGGTGAAGAGGGGGGGGTTACAGAAATCAAGGGAAATATTCAGAAGGAAACACAGTGAGAGGATCACAGGCAGCTTCCTCAGATACACTAGGGGTTTCCTTCAGACATATTCCATATATGAATGCTGTTTTAAATCTCACACACGTGGGCTTGCATGCAGTGAATGAGCAACATTGACAATATCATGACACAATTTGATGGAATGTGAAATGTTTTAAATAAAAAGTGTGAATTTTTGATTGCTACCTTGAATTAAATGTGCATTCCCTTACTGATGTATTTTTGCATGTTTTGTGTATTTGTCTACAGGCGAATGAATACTCACACCCATCCCTGAACGGCGGCCATGATGACGTGAAGCCGAGCCTCTCCTCCAGCGCCAGCTCTGACCTCGCCTCCAGTGTCTCCCAGAGCTACTCTGTTGTGACAGGTACAATTTGACTCATGCTACATTGATCCCTAAAACACAGCTGCAGCAGGTCGAAAAAAATCTGAAGCAAGGTGCACAAACTAAGTGCTTGAACCCAGACAGTGTATTTAGCTCCGCCTCTGCTGCTGCGTTTTCCCTTATTTTCATGGCACGCTCCTGTTATCCAAAATCTTTTTTGTATCCCATTTTTCCAAATTCCTCTCTGACCCTTTCACCAGCCAATGGATCAAATTTTACTTATTCCTCTTCCCCTAAATATGCTTCAGCTATAAGTGAGAGCAGCTGACAAATGGGACTATACCTGACCTGAACTGAAAATGCACTTTTCTTCAAACTTGGTTAACTTTGACTGAGCATTGTAAAAAATCCTCTTCATATTGCATCATCATAGAGTAATCAAGATTTTGACTGCCGCTTCCTTATGGCGCTACATATTTTCCCAGCTATATTAAATTCTTATCACCAAATGAAAAAGCTCTTTCGAGCCACTTTTTGAGGCACTCTGTGTATTTATTTCTCGGAGACAGAGCGAGGCGATATATCATCTGAGCCCATTAAATCCTACAGGCCTTTCACACGCTGCTCCTAACTGGCTATTGTGTTAGCCCGGATTGGCCCGCTAACAGATTGACTGGGAGCACTTCTCATAAGAGACAGCTGCTGTTCTCGCCGCGACACGACGTTGTCATCAAAGGCTATGATAGCCTGTTGATTGACAGCGGCTGGAGTAGCACCGTGGCTGGCTGGCTGCCTCATGCTGCGGAGAGAGAGAGGGAAGGAGAGAGACGTAGGTACAGTTCAGACAGTAAAAGAAAACTAAAATTACAGTTTTTTTCCAATTCATGAACTGGCTGCTGTTTTCAATAGTGACTTCAACTGAGTGCCAACAGGTAATGGCAGGTGCAGTGTATTGAATATCTAGCTATCTGTATCATATAACCCACACTGACCCACCCTGTATTGCACTATTGCTCCTTTTTCTCTGCTGTCCAGGTTGATGGCCGCCTGGTTAATTGAAATGTTGTTTGAATGTGGCTGCTGAGGCTCTTTCCCAGGAGAGGTTAGGTTTACTGACTGCAGAGCAATATGCCATTCTTTTAATAAAACACCCATAATTATGCATTGGGCATCAGAGTCAATGAGTCCACTGTGTGTATGTGTGAGAGAAAGAGAGAGTAGGTAAAGGGGAGGACAGCATGATTGAAAAACTGCAGTGGCCCTTCTCAAATGATCCCCACAGTCCAGCCCCGGACCCAAACACAGAACTACTGGAAAAGAAAGACCCCTTTTTTATTCCTGAATATGTGGGAGGTAGATTTGCCCCAGAAAGTTGGGCCTCACGAGAAGAAAGGTGTGTTTTTGTCTGCCATGCCGGGCTCCTCCTATGAAAGCGGTCTCGCTCTGGGGAGCACACTCATAGCAGGTGGCCTTCCAGCCACCTGGGGGACGGGGCCTCCTATAGCGATACATGTGAGGGCCACAGATTGCATAATTAGGAGCCAAACAAGGAAAACTTTTCTTTGTGTGGAATATGACAGCAAACTTAAACCTATTGCTTTTGAGTATTTTGAGCACCAAATTAAAGTCAAAAGTAATTTCCAGTTAGCTTTTATTACTTAATTTGAACGACTATGCAAAGCAAAGCATGAAGCACTTGATTGGGTGTAGGTTGTCACTGCATAATATTATTTTTTCTTCCATTAGCAAACCCTGTAAATAGGAATGTATGCCAAGGCTGAAAAATGCTAAATTACCTTCCTCACTTAGGCTGGGATCCAATTATCAATAACTTATGCTCTCATACTGGATGGAGCCACACGATTATATTCATTCTTTAAATGTTTTCTGCTCCCAATTAAAATGCATACAGTTATTGATCTTGTTGATTTTTATGTCCTGGAATTTGCATAATCTATTAAAGATGAATGATTAATGAAGTGCTCAGTTTTGCGTTCCAAGGGCGCCAGGGAAAGCAATGTCGGCCATCTTTTGTGTCCTCTGTATGTGTGAAAGAGACAGTTACCTAGGAAGGAGGGCGGCAGCCAAATTAGGGCACTGAAACGCACCGCTGGGATTCAGTGTGAATCACCAATCTTTGACAAATGATGTTCTCCTTCCATGACAATCTTTAGATTTGAAAAAGTGTCAAAGCTATTTGTAGTGAAATTATCGTCTACTAAGAGAAGTACAACAAATAAAGCATTTGTTAAATTTGGCATACTGGGTGAAAAAGAAAACCGTGAACTTTCTGGTGTGTACAAGCTGTGAAGAAGCGTATGTGTCTGTGTTCACTGGAAAAACACACTGCTCAGTGTGTTCAGGTAGAGAACAGCATGTCATGTTTAACCTCTGGTCTCTGGCTCTGGTCCAGCATGTATGTGTCTGCCCAGTTTTCCATTGATACCTGAAAATAGACGGCATCATAAATTGTCCTGCAGATCCATTGACTTGTAATCCCTGCACAAGTTTATATTTAGAACAAATCATAGTTTAGAATTGTTACAACATGATCACTCCCACCAGAGCCTGTGGGGGGCTGAGTGTAAATGGGAACCCCTCCAGTCCAGTCTCTATCAGATGCGAAGATTCAATGTTTTTACATCCCTCTCTCTCTCCCTATGAGAGACAAGAAAAAACTGTACAGATGAGGTGAGAACAACCTCATGCTTAATTACATATTATTTCCAGCTGAAATGTACACCACACTGAGCTCCTTTTATAACTTGGCTGTAACAGCCTTTTGCTGCTGGGTGGCAAACAACAAGCAGCCACCTAACCTGCGCTGCCTGGTGTGAGGCATGGTGGCAAACAGCGTGTCTCAGCATCGTAAACGCCTGCAGACCCGGGCTCAAATTAATGTTTATATCGTCCCCCCAACTAAAGCACACTAACCTGTGAACACACTTTTGATAATGAATGCCCTGTCCTGTGTATGGGGAATTTAAGCTATTTGGCCATGTTAATATTATTTACTTATTTACTTTTCATTTGTTCATTTCTGGTGCAAGTGGTAAAATATGTGTGTCAAGGAAAATGTAACGTTTAATTTTGTCTAGACTCCTCTACAGACTGTACGTACTACTACACAAGAAACAAGTTTTAGTGATAGTATAGTATAGTGATCTTGAAGATACTGTAGGATTGGAAAAAGTTCTCTGCAGATTGAATGTCAGCCTTTTGAAAACAAGAGTTCTTCAGTAAATGGTTTGCGCACCGAAGTTCCTTGGTGTGTGTTTAAAAAGGAAATGCTCACTTGAGAGAAGGCTGTTGTAGCTATATCTGGACGCATTACTCCGAGGACCATTGTAGGTTCTTAACAGTCCATTTCTATGGTTGATGGGGTCTGCAGACGTGGTATCAGTGCATCAGTGGTGGAGCAGAGACAGATGTTGGAGAACTCTATAGCGTCTCCACTCTCTCAGAGATGTGTTTGCTGGGGAGAAAAGTCCCCAAGGACCCTGAGTTTATCTTCCATCTCCATCATCAGGGCCTGTGATTTGACAGGCTCCCTTTGCCTGGGCTCTGCCTCGTCTCCAGGACAATAAGCAACACCATGTCTGATTAGTTTCAGAGTTCAGTGGTCTTGAACGCAGCGTTTGTATCGGTTGTTGTTGCGTCGTAACCTCTGTCTGTTTGACAACGGTTGCTCAGGCGCTGAGAAAACAGAAGCCTACAGCATGCAGGAAGTCTCTGATCCAATGTCAACAGATCTGTGCTAGGCTTCATGTTTGGCAGCATAAGTCTTTCACTAAAGTTCATAATAATGTCCCAACGGTTTGGTAGGCCAAGCAAATTCATACTTACATTAATGTAACTGCTCCTTAGAAAACTACTTGTTTGTATTGTGTGAGCAAGATTCACTTAACACAAACCCAATCCACTGTTTAAAACTGTGACAAACTGTCATTGGATTATGTTTTTCAGGCCGACACTTGTTGCACATGTCTTTTTCTACCATATTTTTTTTGTTATGGTTCAGGCTCGCTGTGATTGTTGTCAAAATCGTAATGACGCTGATCAAGCTGTTCGTTAAATATAATGCTTTAGGCGAACTAATAACTAAAACTAAATAATTTACTGTTATCCCCCCGATCAAACTCAGGGTAACTTTTGAAAGCCGTTTTAACTTTAAAGACTTAAACTGAGTACATTTTAGATATAATGAACTGAACAGCAGAACTGAGGGCCAGCCATTTGCAATCATTCCTAAATGCGGACATTGTTTCAAATAAATTCATGACATACTTGTACAGTGCATTTGACACACTTTAGGTCCATCCAATTAAATACAAAGCCCTCTCATTAGAATATTTCTGTTCATGCCAGAGTTTTGTGGCAACCATGCTTTTAATGATTTGATTGTAAGTTCAAAAATGTCCTCCATAACAATGCTATTTGTCTCAATAAGATGAAAGTATTCTGTGTAATTGCAATACCTCTGTCTAAATCCCCATTTACAGCTGTCCCAAAGACAAAGAGATTTGGAGAACTTCCTTTAGACTTCTATGGGAAAGCAGTCGCTTACGTTCCCTGGCATTAGGTTCATAGGGCTGACAGGGTTTTTTCCCCCCTTCCGTACAACAGTCCTTATCTTAATGAGGAATCGCAACACACAGTCCTGTTGTAAAATGACAATGATGGGGGAAGCAGCTAATGAGGCTATCATGGTGTCGGGAAAGAGCCATCTCTCCCTGCAGGCCCCAGCCAACAGAACGGGCTCACGGCAGACGTGGCGAGGCCGGAGACAGAGCTCACATTGATTGCATAGGTTCAAGAGGCAGAGCCGGTGAAATGAAAGATGCCAAGACTCATCAGCCAAATTAGATCAAAGTGCAGAGTTCTGAACTGTCTGCGAGCCGTTGTTTGGTTATTTGTGGGAGTGATTTTGTTGTGAGAAAGCAGCCGTGAGATTATGTTGTTTGTTTTCCCCAGAACCTTTGGGAAATTTTTTAGGCATTTGAGCTTGATTGATCAGGCGCGATGTGTTGTTGCATAATTTCACTGGTGTATGTTTCCACTTAGCTGAATGAATTACTGCTGCGTGCATATGAGATTATTATTATATACTTTGTAATTGATCAAATCGACTGCTTATCTATTCAGAATTCATATGAAATGTTGCATCTTGAGTTGGTGAAAGAGTCAAAGTTAATGGGAACCGAGGAAAGAAAATGTTTTCCAATCTTCTTTATTTTTTATTTCCTACCTATTTAGGGTTAAAAAAACATCTTGCAATTTAGACTTTTTTAATTTAACTTAATTTTTAAATGTTACAGTATGTCCACTGTAACAGATAGACTATGTAACGTATTATGGTTATAGAGTGATATTAATACAATAATACATTCACCTCTATTTAAAACATAAATAAGTAAATGATCTGAACATTGCTGTTTATTTGGTCACTAAAAAACTAGTTTGGTTCTTGGTCTATCCAGATCTTCAAAGGCTTTGTAGTCGATGTAGTGGGAAAAGTACCTCATTGACTCCAGTCGGCACGGGCTGTAGGGTCATCTTGACTAGTATGGATGTGGTCTCCTTTGACATGCTCATAGAAACAAAGCTGGCATTCCTGAGGCAATTCTCATTTTTCATGGCTCCACTGCTACTCTTGGCCCACAGAGGGCCATGTCTTTCCAGCTCGTCCCATCTGTCTCTCTGTCTGTATCTGTGCGCTCATGGAGCCTCCTGCATCTTTCCCCCCCTTCCTCTTGACCCTCTTCTATCCCAGGTGTGAAATCCTCATCTCTCTCATCATCTGAGAGCTCAACATCTGAATCTCCCTGAACTATCTGGTACAGAAAATGTCTGCTTCAGTTCCGTCTCCTGCAACAATATTGAGTCATGAAGTCCATGAAGATGGTCCTGACGTCCACTAGAATGGACATTTATAAAAGAGCTGTTATTTCAAAAATTGAATTATTTAATTGCTTTCAGAACTAATTATATAGTTCCTCACATCAACAAAAAATTGTTTGGTATGCCATCCATTTTGGATGAGAAGAAAGAGGAACTTCCCAGCATGTAATTTTAACCAATGACATATCACTGGAAAGACCAGGATGTCCTCTGTACAGTACATCAGGGATTGATAGAGTAGCTCAAAAGAGTAAAAGGATATGCATGTTAACAAAATGTCCACTACATTTTCAATGGGCTGGGTCCCAGGAGGGTAAAGTAGCAATTGCTCTTTTACTGCTCCTCATCTTTTATTTTTCATTCATATCAGAAATCTGTAGAGATATGGAGTCTCATCTCGGTTTGATTAATTGCACTGTTGTAGTGTTCGGCTATGCAAGACAAATCTAGAAAACTGCTTACTTGATTTGCGTTTGCAAATATTTTTTATTTTAGTTGTTGGACATTCAAACAGCTATACATCCATCTGAGTTGCTGAAGTGAAAGTATGTAGAGTATGTGTGGATTTGCATGTCTACTTCATTTCAATTTTTTTTCTTTTTCTTGTTTTCCACCTGGCAGACTCTCACCCATCATATCCACCTTCCATATGCCTAAAGCGAGAGCCCCATGAGGCATCATTTGCCCCCTTCACCCCCTCCTCTACTCCCAGCTACCCTGCCCATACCCACGGCCCCCGCTACAGCCAATATGCCCGCCAGCCTTTTATAGCAGGTACAACTTTACCCATAAGGCCCTGCAGCCAGATCAAAATCAAATCAAGCTCTCTATTTTAGTTGTTCATTTTTGATAATTTAGTAGATGTAAATTGAAGCATCCACCTCTCACGTTGCAAATCCATCAATCCCATCATGCTTTGAGGCCTCACTGTTTTGTATACAGGAGTGAAACTGACTGTTTGCCCCTCATTAACAGCACATGTTCTATCCCCCTCTCGGGTTAACAATGGGCCTCCAAGTCCCTTCAGCCTCGTGACAGGCCCAAGGTCTGAGGGGCTGGAGGGGGCCAAAAAGGGGGGGAGAGCTTGCAGAGGCTGAGACTTAAGGCTGATGCTGCTTTGGACCCGCATGTCCCTGTCCTGTGTGCCCCTTTATCCTGTCTTACCCGGTCACTGTTAATTAAACAACCATGTGGTTCAATGCTTTTGTCACTTTCAAAAGCTGCTCAGAAAGTTGGTATATGTCCTTTACAAAATATACGATTTTTGCATAATAAACAATTCAGCGACTTTCCTCAAAATAGCACATACGCAATAATTGCACTGTGATATGGACTGGGGACCTGTTTGGGGAGCACCTTTCACCCGATGCAATGTCCAGCCCCTTGAAACCCCAGATAAGCAGAGCAACAGTTTACGTATTTATTTTCCTGTTTATTACTTGTGAACGATTTAACTTGCATACTATGAGAAATGAAATGCTGTTATACAATGTGACAGCAAGTGGCTTGTCTTTGCTTGTTATTTTCTTCACTATATGCTATTACCTTACTTTGGTGATATCAAGTATCGTGGTTGAAACATTGAATTCAATTTTCTTATAAAACCTGATGTAAATGCTTAAGCTGAACCATCAAGTATAAATAGAAAATAAATATTCATACTGAACTTTTCTGCATTCAAGCATCATGTAAATAATTTCCCTCCTTTGTGCCTGCAGGTCGAGACATGGCCAGTACCACCCTACCTGGCTACCCGCCTCACGTCCCCCCCACTGGGCAAGGCAGCTACCCCACCTCCACACTCGCTGGAATGGTTCCTGGTAGGTACCACTACTCCCTTTTTATGATGCCATTCATTTTAATCTTACAGCTTTTATTTTCAGTAGGTAGTCCCCTTCAGTTGATCTTGGTGAGGTCACTTTAAGCTAAACAAGTAGTAATACTTCTCTGTGATGTCTCTAAAAGTGTGCATGTAACACATGCAACAAAAAATCACTCTTTGAATAACTGAAGAAACCTCAAGGCCTTGCTCTTGACTCAAAGGATTGAAGAGAGCTTGTTATAGCTTTGTTAGACTGCGGTTAGCGTGTGGTTAGCGTCTGCGGACGAGGACATTAGATGAACTCGATAGGCGATCACCACAATCAGTGGCCGTGTGATAGGACAGTTCCTCTCAGTTACACTCCAGCTCCCAGCGCTCATTACCTCCGCCGTGTCCACACGGCGCACTCGCACCAGCCCCGTCGATAAACACTGCTTTTGCTCCTCTCCTCGCCTCCCCGGACACCCAGGGCTGCAGAGCGTATCTCTTTCCCCTCTACTTAACCTGCAGTTCAGGTTCACAGCAAACAGTTAAGGGTCAAAACACAGAGGCGTGGAGGGCCTGTAAATATTTAAATCACTATCTCTCTCAGGGATGAGCTCAAGTTACACGACCAGCACTGGGGATGCTATAGCTGGCAGCATGTGTAGATCTCTCCTCCAAACAACTGAAAACACAATTCCTTTTATCGCTCGGAGACGTGTACCTATCACAGTAACCAATAATCAAAGCAGGCGTGCAGTATTTACAAGTGAGTTCACTGTGAACGACACAGACATTTTAAGGAATACATGGAGGTAAAAGCTGAAATCTAAATGAATACTATTGTAGAGTGCTTATGGATCATACTAGCACACAAGCACAGCTGTGTTTTTAATCCAGAGGTTGCATTTTTTTTTTCATCTGGCGGGGAATGACTAAGATTTATTGACTGGCCCCAAACACTGTTAAAGCAAAGGCCATTCCTCAGCAGCTTCAAATAAAGCTTTTATAGTGTCGTAAAAGAAGGAAACCTGTGGACCCTAAGCATCACTCTCCAAAATCCCCTCAGCCTCCCGTCCTTTCCACCACGACCCGCACAGGGAGGACAAAGAGCGAATGAGAGTCTCGAAGAACCTATTAGGGATTTTTGAAGCGAAGCCTCATCGCTTAAAAAGTAGGGGAAAAGCAATGCAGTCCTCACTTAAGGAAAAAATAAAGGAAATCCTAAAGACTAACAAAGGATTAATAAAACAATCAATTCACCTGAAGGGACCGAGGAGACAAGCTATGCAAGCAGCTAGGATAAAAACGCAGCATTATCGAGTGACAACATTGTCATAGACCTGGAATGTGACTCGGTGTTAAGGCTTCTATAAAAGTGTAATATTTTAAGAAAGCTGTCTGTCATTTAATTTGTAAGCTCTTTGCTAATGTTTGTATTTATTGATCTGTTTTCTAGGAGGGGACTTTTCTGGAAACCCTTACTCTCATCCACAATACACCACATACAACGATGGATGGCGGTTCAGCAATCCAGCATTACTAAGTAAGAAACTTTCCAACATTCTTTAACATTTTTATAATATAAATAAATCTCCAGGCTCTATATATTCTCATGTCCTACATGATGTTTGGCCTCGTGGTTTCCAACGGCTCGTTCTTCTGTTAACTTTCAGGTTCCCCTTATTATTATAGTGCCGCGTCCCGTGGCTCCGCACCACCCACTGCTGCCACGGCCTACGACCGCCACTAGTTACTATGGAGACCATCTCAAACTGCAGGGCCAGGGATATGGCCTCCATATTGTCCATGTCTGAGAAACACTGAGGTCAAAGGGAAGCGTGGTGGAATCCTAAAGGAAACCCTGTGACGTTACACGATGTGGAGGAAGGATCGGCGAGGTCAACGCCGCTGCATCTCGCCCAGCTTCAGCGTCACACACTTTGGGTCAAAATGGCCTGCGGGGCGTTCAGAGCCCACCCATCATGCCCTCACTCTCTCAAAGGCCCGAACACTTCCAGAATGACTTTAAGAGATTATATAAATATATATATTATAAAATATAAATTGAAGAAAAACAGTGTGAAGAATACCATGTGGAAAAAAATGTTGTGGGTTTTTATTTTTGTTTCTCTGTTGCTGTTGTTGTTGTTGTTATTTTATTCATGGATCCTCACTTTCCTTTTTTGTGATGAACCGCAGTATTTTTCTGCTCTTAAGAGAGAAGTCCAGGGGAAATGGCAATGGTCCCATAGCTTGACGATCCAGCGTCTTAAAGCAGTGTTTCGAGGGCTTTACTCTGGTGCTTTGACTACGTCTTCTGCTCCCATTTCTCCTGTCCCACTGACATCATCAGCCTAACACAGCATGTCCTACAACGTTTACTGACCCTATATAGACCAATGGCAACATCACACTCCCTGTGGCAAACAATCAGATGTAAAAATGTAAATCATTTTGCAAAGTATTAAAAACATGGTGACCACAAAAATGGTCTCGCCAGAATTTGAAATACTTTAATTTATTTGTTCTGTTTCTGTTTTTTAATATAAGAAAAAGGCTATCAAAGAGTAGTTCTCACCTTTCTCTCATTTTCCAGTCATGTCCATGTCAATGCATGATCGTCCTTTGCTCTTTTTTTGCACTATATCCTCTGCTTATTTATTTGATTTGGTACTGTCACTTAACATTAAGTTAAATTAACCTACCATTTGAAAACATAAGTTCCAACTTTTTATGTTGGATAGTTTAGTTGTAAAAGCACAAAGCAGACAGACATGTGTGAACATCCTTTTCTGAGTAAAAGCAATGCTTTCAATTTTTCTGAGGACTTTGAAGCCTCATCCCTATGGCTACATGAACAAATTCAATTCTCCTGGGTTATACTCCATTCAGCTTCTTAGTCGTACCACTAGATGCCTACACTGTTTAGAAAGCTGTTTGCAGTTGAGCAAACTAACTGTAAATTAGCTTCAACAATTGCCTTACAAGCCTGTTCTTTCAACGCAAATTCATGCCTGTTCAACAAAATGAATTGCCTTTACAAACACATATTCACAACCCTCCTTGATTTACGTTCTACTCTCCATAGGGACTGAAAGGAAAAACTGATTCAGTTTGCTTTTTGGGAAATATTTTGTGAATGTACTATTAACTACATTTGCCAAAGACTTAGTTTGATATTTAATATTTTATTTACAGTATATGTATGCATAAATAAAGCAGTATTATCTTTTAAATGAGTAGTCAACACTGAACATGTATGCCGTGACCTTTTAACGGTCGAACAACATGATGCATATGACTGTAATGAAAAAGGTGAAATTCAGTTACTCAATACTCCGTCAGTTACAACAAAATGCTGCTTTGTAGAATGGTTTGTGAATAATGTGAAGACAATTCTTCTCTGTAAATAATATCACACACACACGCAGCATATCATACTAATGTACTGGCTCCCTTTGTAGATATTCAAACTGAAAAAATACATTACATTTGTGTCTTAATGTAATGTGTGCTCTGAGGAAAGGCATAACTACTGTATGACCTGTGGCTACACATGCTGTAGCAGCAGGTTCCAGATGCTAACATCACATAGGTTGTCTTTGTCATTTGATTTTGTTTTCATGGTAATGTCATGATAATGTTTTATGTCACTATGCAATGAGTTTAATGGCTTTCTGTATCATCTGTTGTTGTTGGGCTCAGAATAAGTAATCCCCATGGAGAACAGCATATAAATGAACAAGAACAAAAGACCTCCAGTGTGAAATGGTTTCTCTCTCATTTCACAAATTCCCTTAAATGAGGAAGCGATCAAACTGAAGTCCTTGGCAACAATCAAAGATATTGTCCTGTTTGCTGTTAGTAGATGTTGTGATCATTATGTTAATCCAAATTACAGTCATCTGTGGCTCCATGTGTAGAAACACATCCACACTTATTACCAGTCACCCATCTCTCCTTGCTCCCATCACTCCCTCCGCCAATACAACGCTTTAGCAAAAGGCATCCAACATGAAGTTTACTTTAATTCTACACAAGCAAATACATCATCTGGCACCAGGGTTAACTGTGGTTGCAGAGGGCACCAGATAATTGAGAAACAGCGGCCCTGCTCTTCAGGATAAGCTATCCTCTACAAATTGCACTTGGGATTTGCCTATTTCTGTGTACATGTAGCTCGACATATGTGAAAATGAAACACTGGTGCAGAGTGCAAGCCACCGTCATTCAGGCGGAGTCTTTGCTTTAGGAAGCGGAGCACCTCTAAAGGAAAGGGTCTTCTGCTGTTGTAAAGATGATACAGGAGAAGTGTCATGGACATAAAAAGGATTTCTGATGAAAATCTATACAGAAAGCCTTGTGGCCTCAATCATTGTTCTGTTTCAGTTCTGTTCCAATTCTTTTTGTGCACATGAGAAATAAATTCTTTTATATGTCAGTCGTTGACTCGGTGTCCCCTCATTATTAACCCCATAAGAAAATGATTCAGAGTTCAAGGTTTCCTGCTGCCGGTGTATTGATGTTTGGTTTTATGAGGACTAGAAGGCACTCATACGGGTTACAGCTCTCAAATATGAAATACAGAAACAAATGCTGAGCACGTTGCTTGAGTGTCTATCTGTAGAAATGTTATAGATTATGATTCCTGTTAAAAGTCTCCTACAATAAAAAGGAACAATTGCATTATGTTAACACATCTGTGTTTGTGTGCAAGACATACGGAAAAAGAGAAAATGTTGAAAAAAATAAAAGGAGAGAGTAGAGGGGGAAACAAAGAAGCGGGACAGTTGGAGAGGCAGGAGAGCGTTGCCCCGGCTTTAGACTCAAGTATATTTAATGATGCATTGGTTTCATCCTGCCATACCACACTGCTGCTACCCCTTCTCCTCTCTAAACGCTCTACTCTGGAACACACAATTGTTATAATTCAATTTCACTGCTTCCTCTGCCTATTGTTTATTTCATGGATCCCCTGTGAAGCATCAAAAGCTAGTGTTTCTGTCAGCCCCCTAACTGTCCTATGTGTTTGTCATTCAGGCCTTGTTAAAAGATAAAACACACACACACACACATACACACACACATACACACTTAAACTCTCTCCTCTCCCAGCTGAGAATTCCCAGTGGTAAAATTATTCCATTTAGATGGGAACTTTTTTGTCACAACCCTGTCTAAATTGGCATATCTGGCTCTCTTGTTGAAACCAATAAACTGTGAACCCGGATGCATCTGTCTGTCAAGCTCATCTTTACTTTAGCGGGCCAGATGACAACAACAGGAGAGGAGACACACACCAGCAGAATGGGGCGCACTGATTGGCTCTCATCAGTTAGGCATTACGAGAAGCACCTGTCATCCTCGGGGCTTCTCAAACCCCACTCAGAGAGGCCCTGCCACGGGGGCCAATGGGCCTCGCGCAAGATTTACTCAAACACTTCACCCTCATTGTCAACTTGGCTTGGTGATGCCCTACAGCTAGGCCTCTTTTGCCATGATTCATGTCTGTCACTGGTAATATATACAGTGAAATAAGCCCATTGTAAAGAGCTGGTAGATGGACACAGTCTGAAGCAATTCCTTGCGAAGTTTGCGTTTTATTCAGACATCGAGATGTTGCACTAAATACATATTAAATTCACTTTTTTCTTAGCATTTCTAATTCAATGAACCAACACCAGTGGTGGAAAATACTACTTGTGTACTTCATATCCCATTATATCTCTTGTATAACTGGTTCTTTTTTCACAAAGCATTTCCACTAAGTATATATAAATGATTGGCTTATAAATTATGAAACAAAACCACAAAAAGCAAAGTCCCTTGTCATAGGTTTTTGTATGAATTGTAAGCCGTTAAACCTAAATTCTTTTTAAACTTCTCAGATGATTTAAATGATCAATTAGTAACTGTTCAAGGGCCAAAGAGGTAAACTTATCCAGTTACCTTGTCACTCTGGCAACCACAGGGCCTAAATACCAAACAGTAGATAAAGCAGGTACAACTAGCTGCACCTGGGGCAGTAAAATACAATGCACTGATGCGTTAATTGTAACAATGCAATAGAGTGACACATGAGACTCAAGTAACCACAGCAGTCAAATAGTTTATCATTTTTATACCTACAAATATAAATATACTTAACTTTCAAATGGAAGACTTTTAATCGTAATTGGGTATTTCTTGGTTGTTGTGTTACTTTTTCAGGGATAAACAGTGTATTTTCTTTAAACACAATACACAGTGACAAGAAGAGTGAAAACACCTAGAATTCAATATGTAGTGATTTCTCTTTGTGTTAACCTCCACACCATGAGAGAGCGAGGCTCCATGAATCTGGAGGTGAGACACGAGCGCGGTATTGTTCAGAGACGAGGAGCGCTGGCGGTCTGGCAGTGACGTCCTGTCATCTGCCTGCATGGGAGCCTGTCATCAGCCTCATCATGTGGCTGTCATAGTTGATGCAGGCGAGGGGAGAGGCCAACCCTGCTGTGTCAATCAACGAGCCCTCATTAGAAGCGGCTCTAATTAGTGGCTGCACGGTCGCTGTATTGTTCACAACGCCGCCTTCGTTAACTCTGTTAATCCCAAATGGATTTAGGTTGAGAAGAGGCAGCATTACAGCCATCCAGAGGTATAATATGAAGCTACTTTATGTGTTGAAACAAGTTATGTTGTTTGAACTCGAAAGTGAATATAGATATTAAATTGTCCCTGAAGAAGCAACTGCGTGTTTATCACCCTGGTCCAAGAATGAACAGGTTTTAAATTGAAACAAAGGTTTTGTGAAAATGTCCTTGTAGAAAGAAATCATCATCTCATATTAAAATTATTTCAGTGTGGCAGGGGTGTCAGAGAGTTCAAGCCCGGTCTCTGATGATCCTGGTCCTGACAGAACGATGATTATGAGGTTATTTTCACTGTTGGCGGGTGAGACCATCCAGGCGACAAGAACATGACTTTGTGATGTTTGTAATGAGTGAGCATTGATTGACTCTGCACAGCCTAAAGAGGTTGCCTCCATGTTCAAGCTCAAAGGATGCTCGGGC